GTATTGTTATGCTGAGCGGTATTGTTATGCTGAGCCAAATAAGCACAATCTGCACATGCTCAGAAGTATCTAATGCGTTGAAATCTGTCTGTGGAGGTTGCCGAGTTGAATTTTTAATTAAAATAAAAAATATTGGCGTTTTTGTATTTGTTTGTTTTTTTATTTTGTTTGTGGAGTTTGCTGAGTTGAATTTTTAATTAAAATAAAAAATATTTGCATTTGCTTGTTTGTTTGCATTTATATTTTCATTTTATATAGGTAAGTATTAAAGTATATGAATAATTTTAATGCACTAGTTAGTTGAATAGGCCAGCTATATGCCTAGCCGATATGCAGTCTGGCTAAGGAAAGTTTTGTTTTCCTTTTACGGTTGAGTAAGTCCTAACTCTAACTGGCCCAGTGAGGCGGTTTGACCTCAAAACATGTCTGAGCATGTGCAGATTTTGCTTATCTGGCTCATTAGCATAATAATACCACACATAAGGCTCATTCAAGTTGGACGGCTTAAACTAGCCAGCTTCCTATCCTGGTAACAGTTATAAGTCCTTGCTTTAGTGATTCTCTTCCATGATTATTACTTTTATTCAAAATTTTATGTCGCAGTTGTTGTTGGTAGCATAACATGCCTATTTCATGAAATATATTTCATTACATTAATGTTATATTATGTTTAGTATTTATTCCTCCATGGTTAAACTAATTTAAAGTTCCTTTTATTTGACCTTTCAGAAGTTCAGTTCAACATAATACAATTATTTTGAATCATTACAAAATGTTATTCATTTTGGCATAAAAATTTCATCAATAAACATTTTTAATATTTTCAGAGTTATGGACCGATTTACGAAAATAAAATCACAAATCTGTTTTTGGTTTTGTACAGTAGTTGCTAATGAATTATGCAAATTGATGCTAATGAATTATGCAAATTGAATTCTAATGATTTATGCATATCATGAAGATCAAATTTTATCAAACTTCCAATGAGACAGAAGTCAAAACATTTCAGTTTATTTTTTCTACACACCTCATCTTTGGTTTTATAACAAGGTGGATTTGAGTTGGGATCAAACTCCATGTCAGATGGAATGGACTGAAAAGAGAGGAAATACATTCAAATTAATATGTAAATCAGCTACAACAAACATATGGTTGTTTAAATAATGCTACAGTAGTCTGTTAAAAATAAAATAGTCAAATTTCAAATGGACAATTCATTTAAATTAAACAGGGGTGTTTAATACAAAGCAAAGTTGGCATACAATTGTGTAATATTAATATTTAATTATTTATATTATCAGATCATAAAAACTAATAATGTCAGATACTTACATGTCTTGATACAAAGCAAGAGAGAGGGCCAATCTCGGTGAAAAGACCAACCTATGAAAATTGGAGGGAAAACAGAAGTGATATCCTGGTATCACTCAATTTGTGTACTGTACAACTGTACATATTTAACAACCAACCTACAGCTCCATTCCATAAACATGGCAGGATTTGAACCCAGGACCCTGGGATTGGAAGGCAAACATCTTAACCACCAATCTACAGCTCCACTCCATCAACACCGCAGGATTTGAACCCAGGAGCCTGGGATTGGAAGGCAAGCATAGCCATCAAACTACAGCTCCACTCCATCAACATGGCAGGATTTGAAACCAAGACCCTGAGATTGGAAGGCAAGCATAGCCATTAAGCTACAGCTCAACTCCATTAACATCGCAGGATTTGAAACCAGGACCCTAAGATTGGAAAGCAAGCATAGCCACCAAGCTACAATCCACAAAAATATTATCATATTTGATTCACCAGAATTTCCAGTACTTATGTTTCTGTAGGTTCTAATAGGCTCTGGAGAATTTTTTTTTTATATGTTGTACAACAGATTTTTCTAAGGCACAAAAAGGTTATTGGGCGAAAAACTTGGGAACAGTTAATGAAATACAGATTTTTTTAATATTTAAAAACTGGGAGAGAAGGGAGAAAAAAAATGGTGATTACACCTATTTTCCCCCCAGTTTTTAAATATTCAAGAATATATCGCATTAATTGTTCCTGAGTTTTTCATCAAATACTGTACCATTTTTATGACTTCAAAAAATCAGTTGTACAACAATGACAAAAAGATTTTTTTTCCCTCCAGAACCTAGCTTTAACTACCTTGTTTACTTGCGTCACTACTGCATCTACGACTTCTCCTTTGAAAGGTCGGAACACGATAGCTTTGTATTTGATTGGGTAGAGCACAAATCCTTTGCCAGGCTGAATCATACCAGCTCCAATATTGTCAATAGTTGTAACTGCTATAACAAAACCATATCTAATTACAAAAGAAAAAATGCAAGGTTATGATTTAACTATAATAAATTAAGAATTAGATAAAATGTTTTTTTTTCAAGTGCACAATTTTTAATTGAATTGGTTTTGGTTCGAGGAAGATAGTGGCAAACATTCCTTTTAACATATATTATTAATATCAAGTAATATGTATAATATATAGCTATTCAACTTAAAAACATTGTCAGGGGTCTTAAGTTGGGAGAAGCCATTTCCGGGAGGTCTGGTTAATGACATGGTGGGGGTGGGGGGAGTGAGCAAATTTTAAAGAATAGGCACCTAGGCTATAGAAGCCCGAAAATGGCAATGTTTGCTAGACTGTAAAACTATTTTCCAAATCAGTTTTCTGATGAAATGATTGGTTTCTTAGTTATATTAGTACAGTATATATTATATTAGCTTCATTTTTAAGATGAGTGCATTTGCGGGAGGTTTTTGCTTGCTCACAGGAGTGCGGGAAACCGTACCGAATTCCGGGATACTCCTGCGAGTTCCGGGAAACTTGGGACCCCTACATTGTCTGGTGCTGATGATATACTTACTTTCCTGTACACGTTCCTTCTACCTCTGTAAACAACTTCTGTTTGACGGTGTTCAAAAGATTTGGACCAAAATAGCGAGGATGTAAAAGAATCTCATGTTCCAAAGATATCTATAAAAAAAAGTTGAAAAATAACATTTTTGAAATAACATGGATTTTTTTTTCGTCCGAATATTTACTACGATAATCAATTTCTTTCCTAGGCCAAGGCCCAAATTATATCCTTGACAGCGATGTAGGCATCTTGGCGGAGACTCCCGCGTCAATTCACTCTCAAAAGGAGGCTTATCATTATGTATGTCTGGGTAGGCCTAGGCCTGGCACAAACTATGATATTCAGCGACGAAATTAGAACGTCACCTCAAAGTAAACAAAGATCTCAATGTCTATGAATATTTTCTTACATGATAAAACATTTCTTATTTTCACCAGTTTATTGAAAAGAAGGCAAAATCCAAGAAGTACTCAAACTTTCAGGTGGTGGTACCGCGGACACGACGGTTTGTAATTTGTATTTTAGTATTTAGCGCCACCAATGTTTTAAAAGAGAACTAGCAAAATGATTTTTTGTTCAGAGAGGATTTTTGATATGCCATTTAATGAATCAACCTTAAAATCGTTTTTTTGGCTTTTTTTTATGAAGTTATAGGCGATTATATACGATTTTACCATGATGTCACTGGCGAAAAAGTAACAAAATATCGTGCAAATAGCGCCGCGTAGGGTATCCGCCACGTACGATCTTTTGCGTGTATGCTGGCTACCATGGCTGTAAATTGTGATTGTGCATGCACGCAAAGATCGTACGCGGCGGATAAACCGAGAGAAAAAATGGAAAACAGATAGGAAAATTCATAACTGTGAGTGAGGGGACACAATCTTATAAGTATTTGCACTATATTTGGGGTTTACATTTCTTCTAATAAAAAAATAATAAAAAAAAAAAAGAACAGTCATTCTAATCTAAAAGAACAATTGGATTGCAACTGCAAACGAAAAGGTTATAATCTTTTCAGAGATAAGCTGGAAGAAAGTTTTAGACAGTGCCCATCAATGGAAGGATTTTAATACTGAGGAATGGAAGTTAGCGAAGTCCTTGCTTGCTTAACCGTTTTTCTTCGATCGTCGCTTCCAACCGTCTAGGCGCGTCTAGCCTAAGAGGGCCTACCATAGCAGGTCGAGATCCATGGAAAGTCGTATAAAAAGATGTGGGTTACCAACATCTTTATATTTGCACAAGTAATTAAAATTGTTTATTGAGCAGATTAATCACACTGATAAACAATTGTACTACATTCGGCTGATTCATATGAACTTCTATTTAGAGACATAATTTCATTATTTTTCTTTCCAAAAATCTTAATAAACGTTAACTAGCACCTCATATCGACTTTTGAATGGTGAAAATCGGCTCAGTATAGCCCATTTTACCGAGTACAAATTTTAAGTACCTTCTCAGGACTTTACCCCACATCTTTATATCTAATTTTGCTGAGAATTCCGCTTCGGAACAATTTCGTGGACTTTTTGGTATCTGCGCATGACATGCTTCCATTGCAGGATTTATAATGTGTTAAGAAGCATAATCTAGGAAGAGAAGCCGGCAGCTGACTCTCCGGAGTTTTATAAGTTATTTTATTTTTTTTATTTTTATTGTTATATTATTTTGCATTTTAAGCTGCTGGCACCTAGCTATTGTAGTCTTGTTTGATTTTTTATTGCCTTTTTTTTAAATCTTAAAACAAATGAATGATTGTTAGATAGGATAATTTATATGAAAGAATGGTGGTGGTGGTGGTGGTGCTGTTCTTTATAATTGAAAACGGAGACCTGCATACGAAAATTGAAAAATTCAAAACAGAACCATTTATATTTTTCGCGCAAGGTCGTAAAAAAAAGGCCAAAGCAATGCTCTAATCAAAGTTTTATAGCCTATTTTTGTCTATCACTTGGACATGAGATGTGTATATACATATGTATATAAAGAAGAAAGAAAAACAGGAAACGGAGTAGACTTTAGAACACTATTTTATTAAAACATGAATATTTCGATCTGACCTCAGGTCATCTTCAGCATGACTGATTAACATTATGAGAAAGTTGGAACAATACAATACAATAATATCTAATAGGCGATTGGTCAGACTTAATCATGATGACTTAATTATAATAACAAAAGGTATCATCGGGCCTACAAACAAGTGGATATAAACAAAAGTGAAATAATTATGGTGAATAAACAGCAGGTGGCTGTAAGGCTACTAAGGATTACGGAAATACATTAATGAGTAAAATGACAATAATAAAAGGCAAGAAAATATATATCTCTGTAATGATGAAAAATTCATTATAGATCACAATGAACATAATTAAAGAATAAGTGTATACATTATAACATAATGTAATCATATAGAGGACATGATAATGATTACAATAGTAACGATAGTAATGATAACGTAATAATATGTAATAGTAAAACTAGTAGCAATATATAGATGAGATAAAGTCTTAAATGAACAAGAATAAAATGGATATCGGTGTATATAAGTTGAATGAACATAATCCAGTTTCTAAAATATGAAATATAAAAAATGTATTATGATAACAGGGTACAAAAAGCATAGATATAATTATCAAATGAAAATATATTTAAAAATATATATATATAGAAATGAACTAAATGTATATAAACATGAGATACATGTGTGAATAAATATAAGTGAATAAAGGTATAGAGTCGGATACTAAGATGAAGCATAATTAATTAGCAGAATCAGCATGGGGGGAAGCTGTAGTCACTAATGATACCCAGGTCTTTATTAAGAACAAAAATGTGTGTTTTATATTTGATTATGAGTTTCAGTTCAGATTGACGTCGTTCTTTGAGTGATTTGAAATTGCAAGCAATGAGTGCACAGCGAATGTCGTTGATGTTGTGGTCACAGGAGAGTTGAAATGTTCGGCCACAGGAAAGCCGTCTGTGTTACCTTTGCGGATGCTTTAGGTTGTTAACATGGAATTGTAATCATTAATGTCTGAGCATATCCGTTTTATTCGGAGGCATTGGCTGAATATTATAGACTTTTTCAGACCTAATGGATGTGAGCTGTGAAAGTTTATAAGTATGCGTGACTGTCTGTGGGTTTAGAGTGCAAAGATGTGGAGATACGATTGTTATTGATGGTAACTGCTACGGTACATCCAGGAAAGGTATGGATGTATGAGAATATTCAGACGTAAACTTAATATGATGGTGAAAGTTGTTCACATGATCCATAAATGTCTTAAGGTTGTATTCTCCGTGTGGCCAAATTATGAAAATGTCGTCAATGTAACGTCGGCAGAACAGAGGTTTAAGAAGGAATGAAGCAATGAGTTTGGATTCAAGAATGGACATAAAAATATTGTTGGCATAATTCGGAGCCATTTTGGTTCCCATTGCTTTGGCCTTAATTTGGAGGTAGTGTTTATTATTGAAAGTGAAATTATTGTGCGCCAGGATAAAGTTAGTTATGGAGATTATGTCATTAATGTGTTCATGTGAAAAACGAGTGCTGGGGTAAAAATGTAGTAAGGGCTTGGAGGCCTTCATCATGGGGATGGGGAGGCCTTCATTTTTACCCCAGCACTCGTTTTCACATGAACACATTAATGACATAATCTCCATAACTAACTTTATCCTGACGCACAATAATTTCACTTCAAAAATAAACACTACCTCCAAATTAAGGCCAAAGCAATGTACTTTTGTGCTGGAACTGGAATTTAATTGCATGTTTTTCATAATATATTTTATTGCCATCGTTATGGTAAATGTTGGTCGAATAAGTAAACATGATTGTGTTTTTAACCTCCCTGGTATTTTAATAAGGCAGGAGATGTAAAAAATAATGAGGCGTCTCTTGCTATTACTGGCTGGCTAATTTACACGAACTCAGGGGCGGATTAAAAAAAAAGAATAAAAGAAAAAAAAAAATGATAGCCCACAACGCAATGTTATTTTCGGGCGTCTAGAACACAACAATTTTGCGGGGGCATGCCCGGACCCCCTAGGACATTATTGTCTCGATCGGCCCAAATTTCGCCCCCCCCCCCCCCCCCCTTTTGCCACCCCTGGATCCC